GCAACCCTCTAATTTCCCAGGGAAGAGAGGGGTGACCTCTATAAATGTCTCATCAGGGAAATTGGGTCTGCCCAGCAAGGGGCAGCCACGAGCAGCCAGTCTGGCCCCAAGGAGAGTGTAGGGGCCGAGCACAGAGCTGAGCTCCAGCTCTGCTGCTTACCAGACATACCACTAGGAATGCATTACATAATGTCTCTGTCCCTCAGTTTCCTCAGCTGTGAAGTGGGATGAAGGCAGGGGTTGTGGGATGAGGTGGAGTCCCTGTGTAGGAAGCACTTGGAAGTCTGCACGTGCCAGGCACCTGTCTGTTACTGTAGGTGGGCCCGGGACACGTTTAAGCCAACAGCTTAAAAGTGCCTGGATTTCTCTCTAAAATCCCTGATTTCAGAGATAATTTTGCTGCTAGACTTTCAACCCATCTCTCTACCTCTGTGGCCTCTGGTTCTTTATCTGTAAAACAGGAGAACAGCCTCTGACTTTACTTTTCCATAATATTGCTTGCGTTCCAAGAGAGGTAAAGAGCATCCAAGATCCTTGAAAAGCAGAAAGATAGTGCAGAAGGGGTCAGAGCTGGCCTCATTCCCACCAAGGGGCCATTGCAGCTTTCTGCGAGGTGAGGGCTTTGCCTTGAAGGGAATGTCAGTGTTCGTTATTAGGATGGGGGATCGTCATAAAGCAACCACATTCCTGTGATGCCTGTTGTTGAAACAGAACCAGACTCTAAATACCTACGGAATAGAGCGATTCTAGAGCACTTTTGCTGCAATACATCAAGCTGTATGAGTAGCTGGAGTGAACTCTGTAGGGTCAGGTGGTGTGATTCCTGCAGAATCTCAGGAGGAGATGGTGACAGATTGGCCCCCAGGGAGGTGACCCTGGGCTCTGTGGTGCTGTGGCTGCAGGTCCAGCCCCAGGGGGCAGCTGGGAGGATGGCCAGGGCTAACGGTCCCGTGGACACTTGTTGCTGGTGCTGTGTCCCTCCTGAGTCCCAGCCAGGGAACAAGAATTCTAGACAGCACAGAGCACCCCCTGAAGGCGGGCACAGGATTCTCCTGGCGGGTGCAGCGCCTGTACCTCGCCGCAGGGAGTCCTCGGGTCTGGTAAGAGATGAACCGTTGGTGCGGACCTGGAGCCGTTGTTGATCAGGTCTGCACAGAGCTCTCCATAGCAGAGCAGGCCTGCGGTGAGTCCTCTTCCTGAAATCTGCATGCAAATGCTCTATTCAGCTGGCAGCTGCTGCAGGAAGGTGATTTGCTTTGCTTTGCTCCCACAAACACCTTTCAGGAACAAGAACAGGCTTTTGTTCAGCTGTACCCCTCAATTCTCACATGGCCTTGAACGAGTCATTTGACCTTTCTGGGGGAAAGGATACCCTCTGGGTCCCGTGGCCTCGTGGCTCCGCCCTGGTCACCGAGCACCTGTGGTCAGACTTCGTGGGTCAGGACTCAGGGCCTGGGATCCGAGAAAGAGCGTTGCTGCTGTGACCCAGCTGTGACCCTGAGGGGCCGTGACCTCTCTGTGCCGCGATGACCATTTCTGCAAAGCCAGCGTGGCCTCTGGGCTCTACTCAGCGACCGTGGAGAGGAGACCAGGAGAGAAGCCACGGAGCACGGAACCACCCCCACTTGGCTGAACCTCCCCGTGGGGTCCCCAGCGGAGCCCTTGAAGCTCCCCCGGTGTGGCCCTCCCGGCAAGCTGTGGATTCTGTCAGCACCGGCCCATCTTACAGAGGAGGACGTGGGGGCCGGGGCAGTAGGCCAGGGGCCGGCGGTCACGGAGGCACAGTCGCGTCCAGACACCTGCTGGGGGCTGAGCCCTTCACCCCCAGGCCTGGCCCAGGGAAAGCCGCCGCTCTGCGGCGTGGGTAGTGGTCCGCAGCCGAGGCCGCCGTGGGGGCCGCAGCATCTGTGACAGACGGGTGCCCCCCACACACGGGCGCAGGGCCTCGTGGCTATTTTTGTTACTTGGGTGAGTCACTTGGTGTGATAGAAGCTGGAACAGTCCACTTCAAACTCTCTCCTACCCGCATCGCCAATCGCTTTTCTTGGAAGAGGAGGGAAATCATCAGCTCTCCCTGTGGCTGCTAATGTTTCCAGGAAATCTCCGAACACTGGCTGGAAAACCAAGTTCGGGAGCCGCCGTCGGCTGAGCTGTCTCCTGAGTGACTGGCGTTCCCTCCATGCTCCCTCCCGGTCCGGATGCAGGCAGTGCCCAAGCTGGGCCTCGTCACCCTGGGGTCAGTAGCATCCACTTTGCCCAGAGTTGGGGACCAGACCATGGCCCCCAAAGTGCTCATCGTTAGGAAAATTCCACGTGTCCTTGTATTTAAGACACCGGGGAGGCTCTTCGCAGACGTGGCTTCTCTGTAATGCCGGGAATCCATTCAACAGGCTCACTGACTCTGATTCCAGAGGTGCTGAGCCGCAGGTTCAAGGCAATGGAGGCGTCCACCTCAGTTAGTGTATAGCTCCCCCAAAGCCTCCTGGAGTCCTCAGAGCCGGGACCAAGTGCCAAGGGCAGCAAAGACCCACAACTCAGTCCCACCCAAGGCTCCTGCTTCTGTGCTCCTGTCTCCAGAATTCCCGGCCCACAATCCCATCACAAGGTTCTCCCCACAAGCCTGTGCACATCCATACATGCTGTTCCCACGGCAGGGCTGCCCTTCCAACTCCTCTCCTTCCAGCGGGCAGCACGCCGGCCAGCCCCTCCCTGTTACGAGGCCGTGATTCCCACCTGCACTGCTGGCTGGGCTCCCTGTCCCGCACGAACAGCGAGGGGACCGGCCCACGGCCCACCTGCCTGCCGGCGCAGGAGCGCAACTGGGTTTTCTTTTCCCTCAGCTTCCTGTTTGTGCCCTCCCGAGGCAGCAGACAAACTCTGAGAAAACGAAACAAGCAGCAACACACACACCTGGAAGGATTTGAAAATCCACATACACGTCAATCTTTGTTTTTAACTCCCAGGGTCGTTTTGAAAAATTTGAGATCGACCTCGCCGTAAACCTCATCCTGTGAGGGGGGCTCTCAGCAGGCTCAGGTTTAGAAAGTATTCGAGGAGACAGTTTAGGTGACACAATCTGGATTTTACACTTGGGGAGGCAGACAGGCTCCATCTGGAGCGCCGTGACCTGGGGGGCGGCAGGAAGCTGCGGCAGGTAAGAATAAGGGCAAGAGAGAAAAATGAAAATTCCGACTGGCTGGGCGGGCGCTGGCTGCGTGGGGTGGGGAGGCGGCTGGGGCTGGTGCTGGGCAGCGCGCCTCGGGCACAAGGCGAGGTCTACGTTCCCTCTGACCTGTGTGGGCCCAGGCGGCAGCCGCGCCTCAGCCTGGAAGTCCACCTGCACATCACAGAGCACACGAGCATTCTCCTTTCTAGTTCCCGAACATGCCAGAAGATCTGATGCCATCAGCAGTGCTTGCCCACGGACACCCTCGGACAAGCCCCTCCCGGCCTCTCAAGTGAACCCTCCCCCGACATGGAAGCGGGTTGGGGACCATGTCACCAATTGCAAATGTGAACTGTCATGATGGGCAGGAAGGGAGGAGACTCGCCGGCCTCGAAAACCAGGACAGGAGCCAACTACTGGCTCTGGGTTAGGACATTGCCAAGCCCGGCCTCAGGGGTCGCAGCCTGGTCTGCCCCCCTGATCCCAGCACTTACTGGGGGTCCCAGGGACCCTGAGCCTGGGGAGGGAGCAAGCCTGGGGAGGGCGAGCCCGGACAGTGCCTCCAGGGAGATGGAGGATGGGTCTGCGGGCACGGCCAGTCATTCTCGAGTTTCTGCGGCACATTCCGTGGGCTCCCTGGCAATACCAGCGCCCTCCCCACCGAGTCTCCAGGCTGCACGGGCTCTTCTCGCTTAGGAAGTGACCCGCCACCGCCGGCCTGGAGGCCTCTGCTCTCGGCCTTTCCCCGCAGGGCCACCTGGTAAAGGAGCCTTTGGGTGAGGTCAGCCTGAGTTTGTAGGCCCTGCTGATCTTTCACAGGCCAGAGGAGGGGGCAAAGCTCCCCCATTGCAGTCTGCGCACACCCCGGCACCCCACGTCAGGGCTGGAGAAGCACCAGCTGCCCCCTCTGTCTGCACACCAACAGGGCCTTGGCGGGGATGGCAGCAAGATGGTGGCCCTGTTAACCTGCAGCAGGGGTTCAGCGGGGGTCAGCAAGGTGCCTTTTGGGGAACAGCAGAGAATAGCAATTCGGGCCACACAGACGCAGGCAGAGATCGTGAAGCTCCCCACAGGAGCCCAGGCTGAGGGGCCCTGGCAGAGGAGAAAAGAGTGAGGTCCTGAGGATGAGGTCAGGGATGAGGTACTAGTCAGAGGCAGGGGTCATAGGTGAATGGTCAGGGTCATGGATGAATGGTCAGGGTCATAGACGAATGGCCAGGAAGGGTCCCAAGGTCAAGTTGGTAAAAGTTCTCTTTCAAAGAGGCTATTCTGTTCTCGGAGGTGGGGCCGAGTCCAAGGTCGGCTCCCGTCTGAAGGGGGCGGTAGAGCGCCCCCTCGGGGTTGGCTTCTCCAACCCTGATTAACGCAGTTCAATGATGTTTACCAGCGTTGGTTTACCTTTTTACCAATATAAGCAGTTTCCTCAGTGCGCCTACTGCGTGCCAGCCCTACTGTGCACCACCTGGTCCCACCCAGAACGGCCAGCAAGGTGGGGCTGCCCTGTTCCAGGGGTGAAGAGAAGGTGCCGAAAGGCTGAGCATGGTCTCCTGGAAAGAGCAGAGTCCCTGCAGGCTGGCCGCGGCCTCCCAGGGCCCATCAGCCCCTCCTTCTGGGTACCCCTCAGATCATCTGGCATCTCAAGTCCCAGGCGGCCATGGAGCCAGCCATCCAGTGCCTGGAAAAGCGGACAGGCCGGGCTGGGGCCAAGCCAGTGTTGGTTCCTTCCCCAGCGTCTGTTCTGGGGTCTCACTGCAGAGTCAAGGCTGCTGGGCCAGGGGTCCAGCCCCAGACACTGACCGCAGGCCACGCCCACTCACGCCTCCTCTCCCCCCAGGAGAGCACCTGGCCCTACCTGTTTGGAGTGATCGCCGTCCCCGCCCTGGTCCAGCTGGTGAGCCTGCCCTTCCTTCCCGAGAGCCCTCGCTACTTGCTCTTTGAGAAGCACGACGAGGTGGGAGCCGAGAAAGGTAGGGGACCAGCTCCAGTGTCCTGGGGGCTGGCGCTGCCTTGGGGGGCGGGGACCTGCACCGTGAGCAGAGCTGGGTGGCTGCAGACCCCCATCTTCCCACCAGAACGGCTCTGGGTGGCCCAGGGGGCCCCCGGGTCGCATGGGGAGCCTGGAAAGCCAGGGCAGAGCAGGGTGAGACCGAGGGCTGTGGGCAGGGATCCCAGCACCGCCTCGGGTGGTCAGGCTGCAGAGAGACACTGGACACAGGCTCCTGGGTGCGCGGGTCCCTCCCTCTGGCCTCTCTTCCTCAAGGCCCAGTGGTCCCGTCTTCACACTTGCGTGCAGGGAAGAAGAGCAGGAGCCCAGTGCCCCACGCAGCCCATTGAGGGGGACAGTGGACCCACTGGCAGCAGAGAAGTGGGCCTGCCGGGGCCGGGCCGTGGTCTCCGGCACTTTGTGCAGACCCCCAAGTGGAGAAGGCGGGTCGGGTCAGAGCCCAGCTGCAGAGTCCAGCCTTTCTATGGAGTCCCCAAAAGGCAAAGTCACTTCTGAAGAAGAGACAGCTGGAGCAGGCAGTGGCTCTCCTGCGTGGACAGTGGCCTTCCCGGGCTTTAGAAGGGTGGCCATTGTGGGCTGCGCAGCCCAGCTCTCCTGTCTGCCCCCGAGCAATTCTTGTCAACTTGCTGACCTTTGAGCCTTCATAGGTCAAAGGAAATGACATCTGCCTCCCTCGTGAGGGCTTGTGGTGAGGATTAAATTGCAGAGTCACACATATTCTCCACATTCATAATTACTGACCATCTAGACATATCATGGAATGGACTATATGTCCTTAGGGAGGGGGGAAATTTCCTCTGCCTCCTGGGCTCCTCTGGGGCTGTTCGAGGATTCAAAGCAACAAAAGTCAAAGTTAATTGCGTGCATGTGGAGCGGCCACATGGAGGTGGCTTGGAGGGAGCGGGGGCTCGTGAAACGGCTGCTCTGCGACTAGATGCTGGCCTGCCGCTGTAGCAAGGCCTCGCCCTTAGAAAGCTTGTTTCTGGGGATGACCCCAAGTCTGGGCATGACCCCCAGTTTTCATTCTTCTAGGTAGTTAAGGCAGAGGGGAGTTTCCCTTGGGCCAGCAGGGCCTCTTTAGACCAACACCCGAAATAATGCCCCGCGACACAGCTCGGGGAGGCCTGTCCTCCCGCGCGATGGTACCCGTGGCCCTCGTCACCGCGGGCTTGGTGAGTGTCTTGCCCGCTAAATCTCACTCACGTCCACCTCCAAGAAAATGGCTGAGCATCATGGAGCAGCCCAGTTCAGAATAGCTCCTGTGAGCTCCAGGAGCCGTGGCCACGTCCATCTCTCACGGCCCACGCTCCTGCAGAGGGAGACCAGACAGTACTGCCCTCGCCTGCACTTCTTAGGTGGAGGCACCGAGGCTTGAGGGGGGAAGCTGTGGTTAGATGGGCTTTGGTCTCTAGAGGCTTTTTTAAATGAGGAGGAAACTTCAGTGTTTCTCCATCGAATTTCTATACGCAAGTTGGCGGCTTTGCAGAGAGGTGGGCCTGAGGCCTCACCCCCAGAAGCCTGCAGGGGCCCCTGGCTGGTCACCCTGCCCGGTCACCCTGCCCATCTCCCAGCCAGCAACTCACAGAAGGGCTGGGCTGAGGGGGACTTGTTCTGGGGGACTTCCCACGGACTCCGTGACACTTCTCCATTCCCAAGAATGGAGTCGCTTCCCATTGAGAGGACTGTCCAGGGTCCCAAGCACAGGACACTCTCTCGTTCAGCCTGTGGTCAGTGCCATTCCTGCATCACCTCTGAGTCTACTGCATCACCTCTGAGTCTACTAGGGGGTCTCTGTGCCTGAGCGCCGGGAAGAGCTGCCTGGACTCCAGTTCCACAACACAGGGGAATTCACCTCCTCTTGGAGGTACTTTTGGGGTCCTGAGGTTTCTGAGCTCCAAGTGTCCTCTGCTTCTTGGCGCTGGCTCCCTTGCACCCGGCTTTGTCACATGTAAGTACCCCACATTGAACATCAGTGCCCACTTGGGTACTCGGGACACCACAGCAGCCGTCACGTCTGCCGGTCGCCCGCGTTGCAGGTGGTTTTGGAGATTTCCAGAGGTGCTCGCCACGCGGGGTCCAACTCCCGCCTCCCACCTCTTCCCCCGCACCTCTGCTCATGACCTCTCTTTCTTAGGGGGCCCTGGAGCCCCAATTTCTTCCCCTTCCCACATGTTGAACAGCATCCCTCCCCCTGAAGCTGGAACCAGCTGATATGCAAATAAATGTTCAGCAAACACCTTCAGGCGACGTTTTCATCAAATTATTTTTCTCAGTCAAGACAGCGCTTTCCTTGAAAGACATTCTGGTGTCAGCCATGACGTTCACTCACTTTTCTTTCCTCCTTTATACCTGGTAATGTCAGCAAGGCTATTTTGATGCTCCCGGCTGGATGCCTGCTGGCGGGCCTCGGGAGATGGGTCAGACGGGTGGGACCCCGCCTCTGCCTCACCCCCCGGCAGCCGTGAGAGTCCAGGCAGGTCGCCCACCACCTGGGCTATGACTTGGTTTTCTCGACTGTGAAATGGGAGTCACAGACGCTGTCTCCGGGGACCAGAGGGTGACCCAGGGGATGAAATGAGATTTGCTCCACGATGCTCTGCAACCTGCAAAACGTTGTGCAGCATGAAAAGGCCTTGCAGCATCAGCTTCGGTGACTATCATCTTGTGGCTGAAATTAGTCGTTCAATGAGAACTTTTTGTGTATCAAGTGAGTCCTTGTCAAGAGGACAAAGGAGATGACCGCCCATAGGAGCCACGAGCCTCCCGGGCCAGCCCAGGCCCTTGGATCACACGGGCAGGTGCTGGGGCAGACGCTGACCAGGGAGGAGGCCTGTTTTTTGGCCATTTGCTGGCGTGTTTGTGTTAAATACTTCCACCAGACCTCCCTCCAACAGCGACTTCTAATAGCTAGTGGTGATCAGGGATAATCCCTGGGATTATCACCTAATACCCATCACGTGGGCTGATTCTTACACATTCCCTCGGAAGCATGGAGCAGCCTACCGTGCTGCCGTGAGTCTCACTGGTGTTGCTATTAACCAACTCCAGTTCCTGATTGAAAACCTTATTGAGGTGTTTGCTGCTAAATGGCTTTACAGATCATGCAGGGAGGGAATCTACTGTACCCCAATTCTCTCACCTCACTGTGAGTCCTTGGCCACCTTGCTGTTTTGCCCAGTTCAAAGCCACCATGAGTTGAAGATCAGTTGACTGTCCATGTATGCTTTTATTATTTCTGGTTTCTCTATTCTAGCCTATTGGTTGGTGTCTGTCTCCAGGCACCGGGCAGTGACAGGCCAGGCGCCAGCATGTTCCTCTCTCTGCCTGGCCGTCAGGGAGGGAGAAGCCAGCCAGGCAAGGAAAGGCAGGAAGAGCATGGCAGAGGAACAGCATGGCCAGGTGCAGAGTCTAGAAAGCATAGTAAGTATAGGAAACAAACTATTTTCTGGACACATCCACGATAGGAAATAAAATGAATGCATTGAAAGATGGAGTTCACAACTTTCAAGACAGAGATTTTTGTTCCATGAAATTCTGTTAAATGCTGAGCATTGAATTTAGCTGAGGTTTCCTGGCAGTCAAGGTGAAAGGGGAAAGACTCGGTTATCAAGGTCTCCTTATTTTAAAACAGAAAGCATGTATGTCAGGGAGGTGGAGAGAAATGTTTTCCTGTTCCAAAACTCTGGGATTACTTTATCACATGAATGTTGCATTTTGAACTTTGAGAAAGTATTTGAATTACTATGTTTTCATGCATGATGTAGAAATGCTTCTTGTCCGGTTACTTCTCCCATCTACCCTTAACAAATGCTAGGAAAAGTGTTAAGTCATAGTTACAAAAGAGACATTCTGGGGCCTCCCTGGTGGCGCAGCAGTTGAGCACTGGGTTGCGAAGCTGCCCGTCAACTTCTGCAGCGCTGGTTCGATCCCCAGCCGCCAGCGAGGGTCCCACATGGCGCGCAGACCTCTCCTGCCGCCCGCTGCTCCCCTCAGCAGTGTACTTTGGTCCTTCTGCCTGCTCTGCTCCCCGCTCTGGCTCTGGTGAATTCTCTCACCCTCCCGCGCTTCTGACTGAACCCAGTGCTTATATAAATAAATAAATAAATCTTTAAAAAAAAAAGAGAGAGAGAGACATTCTGAAGCAGTTTTCAGTACATTACTGGACAAGCTGAACAAGTTGAATGTGTTGGGTTTTTTGCTACTTAAGAGGAATGATTTCATTTCACATTCCCTGTGGTGCAGAGCAGTGTTTTAAGGATGCTGCCCGCTGTGCCTGGAGTAGACTGTCCACAAGAGCCGTCACCACTGCCACCTTTCCCCGGGAGAGGCTGAATATAGAGTGTGAATATTTAAATCCACATTCTCAAAGCATCTCCTGTGATCCATCACCATGACCTCGGGGGTCTGGTCAGCTAGTGGCATGTCCATCTGTAGCGGTGGACACAATGAAGGGCTTGGTTAAAAAAGAACAGATTGACTGAGGCTGGAAATATGCATTGTTCAGCCTGGAAAAGGCACATAAGTGACATGGGTGAGTCTGAATTCTGAGAGGATTCTCCATTTGAGACAATTTCAACCCAAGTTTTCTGTATTTCAGAGGCTTGCATGGAGAGGGCTCTAGGGGGCCCTTAGCGCAACCCCCATCAGTTGGTACAATTGACTCCTGGGCATCCTGGCCATGTGGCCAACTGACCTCCACCTGGGTCCCCCTGATGAGGACAGCAAACAGGGCCAGGCAAACGGGGTGCTCAATAAACACTCCTGTAAGCCAGGGCCTAATCTTGTCCACTCATTTCAGCAGCCCAGAGCCATTACACTAGCCCATCTGGGGGCTGTTTGCCCCCGTGTGGGCACGCTCTGCTCTACCGTGGGGCACTCAGGGGACCCCACGTCTCTCTGGCCACCCAGGTGACCTTGGGCAAGTCACTGCAACTCTCTGAGCCTCCATTTTCCTATCTTTTAAAATAAGGACTTGGGTACTTCAAGGTTTGCAGGGCCCTGCCGGCTCTAGCCCTGACAAGGCGTGTGCCCGGGCGGGGCTGGCCCCGCAGGACCCAGCGTTAGATGCAGCGCACTCCTAGCCCTGCTGAAAGCCTCTCGTCCTGTCGGCAGCTTTCCGGACCTTCCTGGGCAAAGAGGACGTCTCCCGGGAGATGGAGGAGGTGCAGGCCGAGAGCCGCGTGCAGAGGAATGTGCAGCTGGTGTCCGTGCTGCAGCTTCTCCGGAGCCCCTTCGTGCGCTGGCAGGTCGTCACCGTGGTGGTCACCATGGCCTGCTACCAGCTCTGCGGCCTCAACGCGGTGAGCACCCCGCACAAAGGGAGAAGTGGGTGGGGGTGCGGGGCCAGGCCTAGACCCCTGGCTTCCAACCCTTCGTGGCCTGGTCCCCGGTTTCCTCATCTGTAAAATGGGGCGACCCAGCAGTGAAAAAACAACCCCTGCAGAGTGCCCACCGCTGCGGCTAGCAGAGCCGGCATTTCCTCAGCCTTTAATGTCTCCCTTTCCATGGACGTAACATGCGTGAGAACATCCTGCAAGCTCCAGCCGCTCCTCACCGCGAGTCCGCACGCGTCCGTGCTGCTAAATTCATGGCTCTGTCCTTCCCCACAGCATCGTCCCCTTGGCCCCAAGTCCCCAGCCCCTCCTCCCGGGGAACCACCCACTGGCCCACGTCCCAGAAGTTGTTTCTGCTTGACGTAGCTCGTCTGTGCGTCTGTCCCATCGCGCCGGGGAGGCCCTGGTGTCTGGCCGGCTGAGCTCCATCAGCACCACCCCCTCCAGGTCCATCCACGGCGTTAGCCGGGCCTGGGATTATAATGACTTACCCTAGAAATTCCTAGAAGTGCTATTTCTTCATGAAGTGGGGGTGAAGACGGCATAAGCAAGAGACACCGGGATGGTTTCCAGAAAGTGCTCCTGGCTGGGCTGACTCAGTGCGACTCCGGCCGGAGGAAACTTAAGGCTTTCAAGAGGCGCCTCGGCCCGGCTGGGGGCCTTGGAGACCCCGCTTCTCTCCCGGCCCAGGTGACCTTGGGCAGGTCACTGCCACTCTCTGCATCTCTGCGTTCCTGTTTTTACAGGAAAGCTAAGTGGATTTGGGCAGGATGTCAGAGGAGGGGTCTCTAGGGGGGCAGGCTGGGGATCGTGATTATTCTGGAAATCAGGTGATCACCTCCAGAGGCAGAGGGTGCCCCTGTGCATGACACTGGACAGACACTTGGGGGGACAGGTTGGGGGTTGCACTGAAACAGCCAAGCACCCTCCTGGGCCACCTCATGTTGCTCAGAAGTGGGGTTGGGCCCAGGGGCAGGAGAAAGGAGCCCCTGAGATGAACGGCTTGTGAGCCTGGCACCCCACAGTCAGCATGGAGGGTGTTGGGGTGAGTAGGGAGGTGACGTGAAAAGGGGGATGTCCCTGCGTCCCACAGCCTCCTCTCTCCATGCTGCCCCACCTCCGGGAGCGCTGGGGGCGGTGAGATGGTCTGCTGCTTTCCCGTCTGCCCTTCCCTGCTTGGCTGAGTCTGCAGAGAGGGCAGCACCTGGATCAGACCCGCTGTTGCCGCCTCTCCCGAGGCCTCGGTGGAGCGAGAGGGTCTCAGGGCCGCCCGCCCTGTTCCAAGCAGCGGACAGGAGGGTGTGCTGCTTCTGGAAGCTAAGGCGGGAGTTGTTAAGAGGCACACCCGGAGTCTGTGTTTAATGAGACATGCAGATTAAGGACCGTGACATTTCTAAGCTGAATCCTCTCCTCCGCTGGGACATAATTTCCTAACTTGCCTGCCCTAAATAACTGTCTGAATCCTTGGAGGGAGGATATGCCACCCCCGCTGCAGGACTGGATGATGGAAAAAACCCATGGCGTCTGCTCCCCAAGCCGGGGCGCCCAGCCCTCCTCACGGCCACTGCCTGCTACCTCTTTCTTATCCCGAGAACACGTAACGTGAGATCCGCCCTCTTAAGTATCTAAGTGTGCAAGATGCTAGTCTTTTTTTTTTTCAAATTATTTATGCACACAAAAGCTGGGGTACAGGCCAGAAGTGCAGGGGGTGAGAGGATTCACCAGAGACAGAGCAGGGAACAGAACAGGCAGATGGACTGAAACACACCGCTGAGGGGAGCAGCGGGGAACAGGAGGGGTCTGCTGCACCCTGTGGGAAGCTCCCCGGCCGGTCAGGAATCAAACTCGTGCCGCAGAGGCTGTGGACAGCTTCACGGCGCTGTGCTTAACCCCAGATACATTCCCAGCAACAGCACGCAGGGGTCCAGTTCATCTACCTGTTGGCTACCTGTGTGTCACCTTTGGAGAAATGTCTTTTCAAGTCCTGGGCCCATGTTTTACTCGGGTTACTTGGAGTTTGTCCACTTTTGTGTTTTTGCTGTTAGGACGCAGGAGTTGCTGATATATTTTGCAGATTAAGCCCATATGAGACCAGTGGTTTGCTAGGTGTTTCTCCCTTCCCATCCATTCCCTCCGTACACTCTTGACTCTTCCTTCTGCTGGGCAGAGCTTTTTAGTTTGATGTGGTCCCATTTGTCTGTTCTTGCTTTCATTGCCTCTGCTTTTGGTGTCTTATCCACAACCCTCATTGCCAAGACTAAGCTCATGAAGATTTCCCCTTGCATTTCCTTCTAAGAAAGAAAGACTCTTTCTTCTAAGAGTCTTATAATTCAGGTCTTGTGTTTTTATCTTTGCTCCAATTTGAGCTAAGATAAAGGTCTAGTTTTTTTCTTTTGTATGAGGATATCCAGTTATCCTAGCACCATTTGTCGGAGACTATCCTTTCCCCAGTGCATGCTCTAATACAAAGGTGAGCAGCGAACCCCGGCCTCCCCCCAGTGCCCTGTGCTTGTCCAAGCCCCGCCCCCCACCTGCTGCCCTTTCATCCAAGTAACGTGAGCCCGACAAGACAGCCGGCCACTCAGACTAGAGACTGTGAATGCCCTTGAATACCTCTGTGTCCCCTTAGTTTTGCCAGTATTTGGGGGGGACTGGTCTGTGGTTTGAGCCCTGTAAAAGCAGCTAACCATCTCCCATTGACCTGATTACAACTCCAAATGGTGCCACCGTTTTCTGGATGAAGAACTGAGGCTTACAGAGGGCCAAGGACTTGCTCAAGGTCACAGCAGATGGTGTTTGCCCCAGTCACACCTCCTAGCACATCAGGCGTGACCAGGCGTGACCAGCCTGCTGTCTCTAAGTTTCAGGCATCCTGTCCTAAACCTGTGCTGCTCAGCCTCAGCTCCAGCACATCCAGGGCTGGAAAACTCATGGTCAGTGGGGATGGAGGTTGTCCCGGATGTTTTGAGCACCCTGGTCTCCACTGGTGGGTGACAGCAGCCCACCCCGCCTGTCCTGAAACCGAAGATGTCCCAGACACTGCCCAGTGTTCCCTGGAGGCAAAACCACCCCCAGTTGAGACCCATTGCATTAAGCGGACGTGACTTATTATTCAGTGTATTTTTGCTAAAGAGCCCAGGAGTGGGTTTCACACACTTTAGCCATCAAACAAAGTTGGATTTAACATTTAATTATTTCTAAATTCCTTTTTGGTGGTGGTTTGTTTTTTCCCCTCCTTCTCACAATAGCTTTTGAATTCCTGTCTCTAAAATGAGGCTTGTCACTTAAAATCACTCATTTTTTGTGGCTGCCTTCTTCCTGGACCATTTGTCCTTTGCATGAAAACCAGACTCTGGTGCGACCTTTCAGTTTCTCTGGCCAAAGGAGCTGTTCATTTCAGGGCACAGCATCCCCCCAGGGCTGCCACAGGGGTCTCTGCACCCCCAGGTTGCTACCCTCACCTCGCCCACCCTTCAGGATGGAGGTCCCATCTCATGGTCCCGGGGCACCCCCCCACTCTGTCTCTGGTGAATCCTCGCACCTCTGGCCTACACCCCAGTTCTTGTATGCATAAATAAAAAAATTTTTAAAAAGAACAAATAATTTTTTAAAAATGCAATTATTCTGGACTAGTTTCTTGTCCTAAATGACTTTGACCCAAGGAAATGTCAATGCTGTCGTATGCTGAGGACACCAACAATCCTGATTCCTAAAGAAGGCCCTGTGGGGACTCAAAGCGGGACCCCCTGTTCTTTATCTGGCACCTTGGTCATCAATGGGGCTGAAAAGTGGGTTCACCTGCGGCCAGCAGATCCCCGTGTGGCTCCTTCTCAGAGAAGAGCAGAGCTGGTCCTGACTTCCCGTCTGTGCAGATGCTTTGCCCTTGCTGCCGGGGGTAAGAACAGCACTGTCCTGCGGCCACTTAGTGACCCACAAAGGCTGCTGAAATTCCAGCTATCACACCCACCATCCCAACAGCAGAAAGGAAGCAGGCCAAAAATGAGATCACGTATCCTCGATGAAAATCTCCTTTGATGGAGACTTCCCAGAAGCCCCTCCAACATTTCTGTGCATACCTCATCACCACACGCAGCAGAGCACACCTCCCCGGAATGCAGTTTTGTCAGTGATGAGGAAGGGAAATGCGGGAGAGGGGAGAAAACATCGCCCGCCACTGCGCCTAGCTCCCCCATGTGACTCTGGACTTAGCAGCGAATCTAAGAGGCCGCCTGTCCGTGACCTTCATGTCCATGACCGCCTGTCGATGCATCTCACCGACTCCCTCCCCTCCTCTTTCCTGCATCTCAGATTTGGTTCTACACCAACAGCATCTTTGGGAAAGCTGGGATCCCTCCGGAAAAGATCCCCTACATCACCTTGAGCACCGGGGGCATCGAGACCTTGGCTGCCATCTTCTCTGTAAGTGAATGGGGGTCCTTCCTGAAAACATCCTGGGGGGAGGGTCTAACAGCACCTCAGGGACCCCCAGGCAACAAAGGGGCTTCCTTTAGGAGAGCTTGCCCTCTGCCATGCCAAGGGGTCTGAGTTGTAGGAGCTTATCGTGCGGCTTATCCTTGACTTTTCACCCACCTGAAGAATATTCTTTCTATATTCTGCTTCCCTATCACCTCCCTTTAAAAAAAAAAAAAATAGCTCCTTTTATTGCCTCTCATCTATGTTTCAAAAGGCACAGAAATAACCCTGATAGAGTTTCTTCTTTGGGAGGGGCTCATTCCTCTCAGGGATTGTTAATGGCTGTTAAATTATTTCTGGGGCTGGTGCCTAAGGACTTTTTCTATATATGGCTTGACTAGGTCAGTTGGAAAGGACCAGCATTATTTTCAATGGCCCTGAATCTCCATGTCCCCGCCTGGTCTGCGCCTTGGTCTGAGCCTCGGGATCCTTTTCTATAACTTGTTTAACAACCATGTCAATCACTTCCATCCCGCCTCGGGTTCTGGGCTTGCGGTGCCAGACTCTGTTTTTTTGATGCCTCCTTCCAGAATTTTCTACTCTTAGCCTCCAACCGTGGGAATGTAAACTGGCACAGCCATTTGGAGCGTGGTCTAGGTTTACCTTTAACAACTAAAAATACCGCATGACTCAGCAATTCCGCTCTTAGGCACCTCATCCAAAGATCATGAAACCATCAAATCAATAAATGACCGGTTCTGCAGTGTTTATTGCAGCACTGTTTACCATAGCCAGGACAGGGAAACAGAGAGGACTGGATCAAGGAGACGTGGTCTGTCCAGACCATGGAACACAACTCAGCCGAGGAAGGTGGAGTGTCACACGAACAGCAGCATGGGAGGAGTCTGAGAGAATTAGGGCCAGAAAAGCAAGTCAGAATGAAAGACAAATATTGGATGTTTGTATAAAGGATGATCTGACAAAGTAAAATACTTATAAAATCTAGCAGACACTGCTAACGAAGGGACGCTTCTGTGGCTGGGGCCGGAGAAGGGTCCAAGAAGGGGTTAGGGATGACGGAGGGAAACAAGAAACCAAACACACCTGTACGAGGAGGTGTGGCGCACCTGCGGGCCGTGGCCGGCTGGCTTCGAAGCGGGAAGGGCCACAACTATCACCTCAGGTTCCTCCCCAGACTCCCCGGCAGATAAGCCCTCGGCCCCCACTGAGCCAGGTCAGGCGGAAGGTGCTGCCGACGCCCCGCGGGTGCTCGTGACCGCGGCTTTCTTCTCCCTTCCCTCCTTCCTCACACAGCGCACGCTTCCCTGCTGCGGCCTGGAGGAAGTGGCAGGTGTCTCCAGGTCAACCCCAGCCTTAACCGCGCCCCCACTCGTGGTCCTTCCCCTGCTGCTGGAAGTGGGGTGATAAGTCTGTCCGCTCCTGACCTAGGGCTTGGTCATCGAGCGCCTGGGACGGAGACCGCTCCTCATCGGTGGCTTTGGGCTGATGACGCTCTTCTTCGGAATCCTCACCGTCACGCTGACGCTGCAGGTGAGCAGGTGTGTCTGTCGCGCCCTGAGCAAGGTCAGAGAGGTCAAGGGACCCCCCAGGGTCACACAGATGACTGGGGCAGAGCTGGGATGGGAACCCAGGTCCTCATCGCCGCTGCCTCCTCACCACACATGCACCCTTCCCCACAGGACCGCGCCCCCTGGGTCCCTTACCTGAGCATCCTGTGCATCCTGGCCATCATCGCCTCCTTCTGCAGCGGCCCAGGTGAGCTGCCCCTTGGGCGCTGGTGTCCAGGGGCCTGAGGCCCCACCAAGGTGGGCAGGGCAAGGCACAGCTGGGGACAGTGGGGAGAAAAGGGCTTGTTTCCACGCAGTGACTGACTTGGTTTCCACCCCACTGAAGGCAGGCATTGTGCTTGCCCCAGTGCCCAGTGCCCAGGTGCCTGGTGCCCAGGTGCCCAGGTGCCCGGTGTCCAGGTGCCTGGTGCCCAGGTGCCCGGTGTCCAGGTGCAGTAGTGAAAACACACAATGGCCCAGCAACAAGTAACAGTTGCCAGAGCTGAGCCAGGGACACTAGCTGATGATCAATCTCAGGCGATCAAGTTGCAGTGCGCACCCGCAGAAAAGTGAGTTTAATGCCCTCGGGGAGGCCAACCCCCCCAAGACTAAAGGAGCATCAGCCCCCCAGGGAGAAACCCTGAGACCGCCAGGCAAGGTCTTTGGGGAGCAGATCCATTTGAGACTTGACAGGGAGCCGAAATCAGGTGAAGGAAAGACAGAAAAGCAGGCAGTTTCCGGCCATGAAGGTCACTCGTGTGCGTCCCCGAGGGGCGAGCAGGGAGCTGGACTCGTGCGGGTCCATGGGAGAGTTTCGTCTTTGAAGAAAAGCAGGTCTTCGCTAATGCGCGTCCCTTACAGAAATAATTAAAAATAAATGTGCTCATTGACTGTTGATTTACAGAAGCTTATAAAGATGTATACGTTTTCAATATGTAAAAATACATTTTAAATTTACATATAAAGAAAGAGAGGGAATGGCGCGCTGGTGCCCTGCGTCAGTCAAGCCCGCTGCAGGCCAGGGAGGCCAGCCGCGCCCTTGCCGCCCCAGCAAGACCAAGTGCGGCCGCTGCCGTGCGCGGGTGCACGCGGGATCTGAGCGGCGGGATGAGCAGTCCTGAGGGGGGCAAAGCTAGTGCCTGTTGCGCACACTCTGGCCTGGAAAGAGATGCCTCTGTGGGTCACGCTGATTTACCTGGAAAGATTGCGGGGTGCACTAGCCTCGGAGGGACCTCTAGCATCTGCCCTTTCTCCCTGGGCCCCAGGCCCGCACCCTCCCTGCTTTCCAGCCCTGCGGGGGGACGCAGCTGCCCCACCGCATCGGGTCTGCGGGACCCCAGCCGTCCAGGGCCAGCCCCTGCCTACGCCTGGGGGAATGGCCTCCATCTTCTAAAGGGCAGCCCTCGCTGCCCCCCACCCCGTATCCCCAAGGCCATGGCTGCATCTGCTTCCGCCGGGATTAGATACCCTCGTCAACCTGAAACACACCCAGAGGTAGGTAGACAAAGAGGCTCTTGGGCCATCAAAGTGAGGATTCTAACCCAGGAAGCTGTTCGACAGATGTGACTGCAAGAACTGTTCCAATAAACGCGAGTGTGGGTTTATACAGGCAGGAACGGTGAGCCATCGATACGAAGAATGCAATTATTCTGGCTCTAAGTTGTCCCGGCCGAAAGATCCTAATGCAACACGGATTTCATCTCTTCCTTTCTACGGAGAGCACCGCAGACCTGGTGGCTCCTTCACCTGGCTCCTCGGTCCTCGAGGGGCGTGAAAAGACTGGCTTTACCTGCCAGCAGAGGCCTGTGCAGTGTCTGTGGCCCTGTGCGCCCTTCTTGCTCCTAAGACTCTTCAAAAACACCCTCCTCTGGGAACTCCAGGGTGGGGACATTCAAGCCTAAGAATTTGACTTCGAAGTCCCGACTGAAGACATTCCACTGTCAGAACGCACTGACTGGTAGTCACGAGGGAGAACCGTTTTCAGCTGGGGCGGAGCCAGGGCGCCATGTGCTAAGGTGCATGATCCATCTTCGCAGGCTCGAGTTTCAATCACACGGGCAGAGACTAACGATGCCGAGAGGCAGAAAGTGCTTCTCATAGACATTTTTCAATTTTTTTCTCAAGTTTTTAACTACTGTCTCCTAACCTGTGTCCCTGTGTGTGCCACACTCACTCTGCCCACGCTAGGCTGTCTAAGTCTCTTGCTCCCCTACCTGCACCAAGTGAGGTGCCAGCCTCCCCTCCTCCCAGCCAGCAGACTGCAGAGGGTGCTCACCACCTCCTCATCACCATCACCATCACCCCCACTATCACCCCCACCATCCCTAGCACCACCACCACCCCCACTGCAGACAGTAGCTCACCTACTCCTCACACACCCCCAGCGTCAGTCCCTGCCAGCATCACTTTGCAGGTGAGAGACCGGAATTGTACAGACTGGGTGAGGCCAGGCCTGAAACCTGCTCTCACTGACCCCAGAGCCCGAGCAGGAGCCCACGGTCCTGCCCACGCCTCTGGCCGGGAGGCCCCGGCTTCCTCTGGGATTCCGCAGCTTGTGTGTGGGGCCCTGAGGCTCAGGAAGGAAAGGGGGAGAGCTGACCAGGCCGGGGGGCCCCAGGGGTCCTCCTGGCTCCCCCATCCATCTTGCAGTGCTGACAGAGGCCCTGGTTTGTGTCCTTGCTGCTGAGCTAGGAGCCGCGGCCACGCCAACCTCCAAGATGCGGCCCTGGCCCCGTGGCGCTTTCTTTGCAGTGCGCAGCTTGTCAGATCTTTTCAAAATCCGATTTTGAGCATTTAATTCCAGTAAGTAAATATTGATCGAGCATCTACTTTCAGTTAAAGGTGCCAGGGAAATCGGGCTGCTGCCCGCCTGGCGGACCCCATCCGGCCGGGCGAGGAACGGTCCGTTCCGCGTCCCTCCGATGCGCTGGCGCCCAGGGTGGCTGGCGTGGGCACGGGCAGCCTCCCCACGTGACTCACCTGCGCCTGCCCCCCTTGCAGGTGGCATCCCCTTCATCCTGACGGGCGAGCTCTTCCAGCAGGCCCAGCGGCCGGCCGCCTTCCTCGTGGCGGGCAGCGTCAACTGGCTGTCCAACTTCGCCGTCGGGCTGCTCTTCCCTTTCATCCAGGTAGGGTCCACGGAGCTCCTCCCTGGGGCCCCTGAGCAAGGGGTGACTCGCAGGGCCAAGGCTGAAACTTTCTGGGCTGGAAGCGCCACTGCAGACCCAGGGCGGGGTGGGGGTGAGAGAAATGTGCCTCGGCCCCACTTCGGGGTCTGTGTGGGGCGGTGGGGCAGGTCCAGGCTAGTGCTAGACACACGTGGCCCTTCATCTGACCCTGCTGGGCCAGCCCACCCCCACCACAGTGCCTGGGCCTTCTCCTCCGCGTCCTCGCCAACGCTTGCTCCTGGCCTCTCGCCGGCCTGAGGTGGAGTCGCGTTGCAGGTTTGCCCCGTGACAGGTGAGGCTGGACATATCTTCACGCGCCTGTGGTCACATGCAGGCCGCCTTCAGAGAAGTGTCTGTCCAGCTCTTCTGCCCCTGCTGTGGCTGCTTCTTTGTTTCTCGGCCCGCTGCAGCCCGCGGGCTCCGCTTACCTCGGTCACATCCGCAGATGGTTCCCAAACAGCGCGCGCTCACTGGGCAGGGGAGCAGCGTTAGGATGTCAACACATCTTTTTGGGGGTGGGGGGCATGATTCTACCCACAGCACCTCCCTGTCTAGAGTGTCCTCCTCACCCTAGTTTACCCAGAACTTTCTCTGAAAGCCTCCAGGATAGCCCCCACAGTCCATTTTGCTCCCCCAGCCCTGCAGTCCCTCAGCCCTGCTCCCGCTGCTCCTGACTTTTGGTTTGAGCCTCTGAGTTCGGGGCAACCTGAGGGTTCTTTCCCCACCGCCTCTCTGGCCAGGTCCGTCTGTGTCTTCTCCCCGGTCCTTACTCTCCATGCCCGAGCACAGAGACCAACCCCGGCTCTGGGGTCAGGACACCAGACTGGAATCTGCTTTCCCTCTCAGCCCAAAGACACAGGCCCAGTAACTCCAGGTTCCACTCCGGCGCCTCCAGCAACTCCCCACCCAGCCCGCCCCAGCCCCCTCAGGCCCCAGCTGTAAGTTTCAAGCATGGCGATTCACTTTTTAAGGCCAAGTTTAAAAAATATATCCAGACTGCCGTGTCCTCATTTTGCCAGGGTTTGAAGAGGGTTTATTCATGTTCGTTTAAGAATGTCTCGTGCAAACATCTACACAGACACCATTTACCTACAGAGCCTGCTTCACACGTGCTGTGTTTTATCCAGGGAATATTGATATAGGAATGGAAGCTATTAAAAAATTTGTTCGGAGATGTTTGTACAGCCAGTTTAGTGGTTGTCGATTTGATTTGTTTTTATCTATCTTCCCACAGAAAAGTCTGGGCACCTACTGTTTCCTGGTCTTTGCCACGATCTGCCTCGCAGGTGCAGTCTATTTCTATTTTGTCCTGCCTGAGACCAAAAACAGAACCCATGCAGAAATCAGCCAGGCGTTTGCCAAGAGGAACAAGGCATGCCCACCGGAGGAGAAGATGGACTCAGCCGTGACTGACGACAAGATAAATGGAAGGTCGGAGCCAGACCCCACTTCCACGCTGGACAGTCCTGTCAAAAATGGGGCTGTCTAACGTGTGATCTCACCACTTCAGGAAGCCAAAGATTTCTCAGTTTTTAGAAGGCTTATACCGAAGACATGCAACTTAGCATCATTACTTATTTAAAAATAAATCTTCAGGAATCTGACATCACAACCACGTGGGCTTTATTCATAGCTGAAAACCCTAACCTTTCTGGAAGCTGGAAGGACTCACCCTATATCTCAGTAGACCCAACGTTCTTCTGTAAGATCAATGGCCTGCCTTCTTGATGTCTTACCCATGGTTTCAAAATGAAATTGGGGAAACAGAATTGAAGTGTTATTTCAAAGAGAAAAGTAGGGTCTGATGGAGCACTAGATGGACTGGAAACTGGTGTTCTGGTCCCAACTACCATTAGTAGCCTTGGGCTGCCCTCAACCTGGATCCTCAGGCCTCCAAGGACCCCTACCTTTGGTCCTGGATGAATGTTTCCAGAATTCAGTGGGAAAACTCTATACCTCCTAATCAATGGCTTTCCTGGTCCTGGCTCTGCCCTGTGGATCTCAGTGCCCAGGAGAACTTGGTACCAGCCCACCAGCCTCCAGGCTTTGTCTTTCCTGGGCTATGAGCCATTGACTCAAGACTTCCAGCCCCAAAGCCATCTTCACTTCAGAGTGTCAGCTGTGCTCATAGCTAAAGCCACAGAGAGGTCTGTATGTGCAAGACCCAGAGAGGCAGATACCAGAAGTAACTTTCCAGTAGCTGGGGCAGGGACTGCAAATTGTACCTTTTCAATTGACAGAAATACTATTAAGAATAACTGTGAGGTTAAACCTAAGCTTGGTGGGGAAAACATTGTGGATGATTGGTAATGTCTGCCACAGGTGCAGGTGTGAGAGGGTCAGACAGACGAGTGCATCATGTTTGCTAATCCTGGAAGAGATTTTTTCTGAAAAAAAATAATGCATTAGGGTTTTCCAGAGGAAAACATATGCATTCTGAAACAGATATGATTTATTTTAAGGCATTCATGTAAATATATATTCATACATATGATTTATCACGAGGAGACTATGAAGTCCTGCGTCTGCCATCTGCCTCCTGGAGGCCCAGGAAAGTGAAAGGCCTGAGGGCCATAGCAATGGGATGATCTTTCCTATGGAATATTCTTTCACCTTGGCCCTCTCCTTGGTTGCCAACTCAACGCGCCATACCGTCCAGTTTTGGTCTGGCTGGGAAATTTGAACAGTGGCTGTCAAGGAGGACAGAAAGATGTATGGACACAAAAAGAGCCTCAGACCAAAAAGGCCAAATAAAGTGTAAAGAGAAATTTCAGCCTTTGAGTGTTCTCTTTCATTTGGAGCCATGGGTATTTGGTCACTAAGTACTTATTAGGAACCTCTAACTCGGTGCTAGCTAGGCGCTGAGGCCATACTAGTGGGCGCAGGATGCCCCTGCTGGATTTGCTCATGTGCATCACAGAAGGTCGAAAAACAAAGTGGCACTAATAGCAAATCATCAGTCCTGGATGGGGGTGGGGCGGGGATTAAAAAGTCAGTACAGCAACATTAAGGGAATGTTTGAAAAATAAAGCAATAAGTTACCCATAATCTCGTACGCTTCAGCTCCCTAATACATAGTTTTAATTTTGATACAGCTCTGTCCGTTTCTGGCCTCTCACTTTTCCAGCTGCAATCACAGAACACATAAAACACAATTTACATCTATCTTGTCTCTTATCTTCCATTTTCCCCACTTTATATGAATTACACACAACATCTCAGTTCCAGAGCCTTTTGTTCATGCTCTAACACCCACTGCAGCGAGTTCGTGTGCAGAGTTGTTTTTCAGATATTGAAAGGTAATGGGGAGAGATGAGTCAGACAAACATTCCAGGCACCCTGCTACCCAGGCCCCAGTGCTTTCCTGAAAGGCTCTAACCATTCACAGCACCTGTATCCATTCACCAGGTGTGAGGGATTAGGTGCTAGTCTTTCTACTTTCTTTCTGATTCTGAGACACACACATTCCACCCTATACCTACCCCCTGGTTATAGTTAAACCCCTGCATAACACATAATACACATCCCTATGAGGAACCTGAAAAATAAATTTCAGCAGGAAAATGGAGGAGGGAAATCAAAACTTGCAGAGCCACCAATAAGACCGTGAGTTTTCTGCAAGATTTTTCTCCTGTATCTCCTGGCTTATTCCCTGGACACATCAGCTCCCAAAACTGTACAACAAGCACTGACAGAAAAAGCTCAGAAGAAACCCTCCCTCTCTGGCCAGAGGGCTGATCTTGGGGAGAGAGGGATGCAGGGGGTTGGGGAAGAGTCACTTAAAAAAGTGAAGAGTCGCCCTCCTGCTTTTAGCCCTGAGGCGAGCTCAAAAGCTGAGCTGCTGGGACCAGGCAGGAGAGGTGGAGAGACACCTGAAAATCTAAGGAAAAGTCTTCCTCCTCTGATAGAGGAACTGGCAAGGTGGGCTTCAGTGGTGTGAAGAGTGTGAGGTAATGCCTATAATTTTTTCTCTCTTTTTATTATCAATGTTTTTCCCTGGGCGCAACCTCAGCTGTGCGGGGTTAACACAGTGGTGGGGCTAAACTCTTGACTCTCTAGCCCAAAATTCCAGGTGAGATGACAATTGGAAACTGGAAATTGTAGGGAACATCACAGCGAGGAGAGAGTTGATGGAAAGGACATGGTAAATCTGTGTATGAAGTCCTGGGCTCACCCGTGAACTCTACCTGCCGGCACTGACGAGAAGCAATGTGGAAAACGCTGAGACGTGAATTACAGGAGGAGCCGCTGCATGGGCCAGACGGACCCCTTCGAGGTGCAACACAGGGCAGACCCACACCAGCAACATCTGAACATTAAACTGAAATTGAAAACACAGCTTGCAAATGTGGGTTTTTGCTATCTGAACATAAGCAGGTTGGTTGTCCATAAGGCCTTGATAGACCATATGGCCTTATATAATATTCCAAATGCTCAAGAAACAATTCCAAATTACTTCACATGTGAAGAACTACATAACAATTATCAAGGGAAATAACCATCCACAGATGCCAGTCCCCAAAGGACTGTTCTGCTACTTTAAAGCCACTATTTCTGTCATCTCCATGAAGTAAGGAAAAACACTCGAATAGGAAAAAGCACTCCAAGAAATAAAAGTTATTTCTAAAAATGGGAACTTTAGAACTGGAAAATGCAGTAACTAGAAGTTAAAATTAGCCTGACAACACCAATAGCAGGATAAAGATGAGAGAGCAAAAATGAGTGAACTTAAAGAAATTAGCTGTCTGGTCAACAGAGGGAAAGGAATCAGAATGAGCAGAGCTTTAGCCACCAGTGGACCAGTCTCTCAATGTCTAACAGTGGAGGGTGAGTGAAGAGCTATCAGACTTTTCTGCCCTCCTGCCATCAGGATTGTTGATGGATCCTCGCGGTCCTGAACACATGCCTGATGGCGGCACCTGGAGCAGGGTGTGGGCAGAGGTAGATGGGATTCACCTGGGCTGAGGCTGGGCTTATAAGGGCGGCGCCACAGGGACGCCAGCGGAAGAGCAGAGAACCGCGAGAAAAGCCGAGAGATCACCGGAGAGCCCAGAGAGAGTGAAGACTTGCTGGGGGCTGGGAGACCTGCCAGCCTCCCGGCCCCCCAGCACCCCTGCCTGCTGTGTACCTGGTAAATCCCAATAAAAGCCTGAAAAGCCACTGAGGGCTCCAGGACTCCTTTATCCCATCTGCTCGGGTCATAGAGAACCTGCTCCGTATCCTCCTGCTGTTACAGTTATGTGATTAAACTCCAAGAAAAAGAAGAGAAGGAAATCAGTGCATAAAAATAGATTTAAAGGAGTCATGATTTTAAACTTCCCAAATCTGGTGAAGGAGGTAAATTTACAGATTCAAGAAGCTCAGTGAACCCTAAAGAGGAAAATTCAAAAAAACAGTCCCAATGAGTCACAGTGAGTCTGATGAAAAGCCAATACAAAGTAAAAATCTTGAAACCAGAGAAAATCAACATTACATTTCATGGACCCCACTATTTGCGTGACTTGAGATTTCTCCTCAGAAACCGCACAGGCCCCAGGAGAATGAAGCAATGCATCTGTGTTTTCTAACACTGAAAGATTCATCGATAGGCTCTTTACAAGATCACCATGTGATGTGTAATGGCATATCAGGTTAAAAATACAAGCGTGGTAAGATATATACCATGTGTAGGGTAAAGAAAATATCAGGCTTTTCTGCCCTTCCGCCATCAGGATAGATGATGGATCCTTGTCCTGAATGCATGCCTGATGGCGGGCACCTGGAATAGGGTGTGGGCATAGGTAGATGAGATTCAGCTGAGCTAAGATTGTGCTTTTAAGGGTGGCATCATGCGGACGCCAGCAGCAGCAGTAGAAGCCAAAAGAGAAGCCAAGAAAGAAGTAGCAGAAGCCGAGAGAGAAGCAGAGAATGCTGGAGAGCCCAGATAGAGTGAAGACTTGCTGGAGGCTGGGAGGCCTGCCCGCCTGCCAGCCTCCCAGCCCCCTAGCCAGCACCCCTGCCTGCCATATGCCTGGTGAACCCCAATAAAAACCTGCAAAACCACTGAGGACTCTGACTCCTTTACCCGGTCTGCATGGGATCAGAAAACCTGCATCGTGTCCAGTTCCTGCCCTACATCATGGAAATATGAATTAAAATAAAGCCAGCATAGCTATAGTAATATGAGAAAAAGACTTTGGAACAAGAGAAATTAAATTATTGCTGCTTTAAACCACCAGCTTTTGACATGGTTTGTTAAAAGGCAGTAGATAACAGGTGTATTGTTTTGGTTACATTTTCTCCTCTTTCCCTGAGTTAGTCAGCACTGTTCAGAGCTCAGACCCTCAAACAATTCCAGAATTAACATTCTCTGGAGTCTCATTCGTTTATCCCCAAAATAGACGTTTATCAACGTCTATTATATACCTGTCCTAAGTAATGGGGGTACAATTGGCGATTGGCACAGTTATCAGACCACCGCGGACCCTCTGTGCAGAATGTGCCCCTCCTTTGCTTCATTTGGAGAACTTTGCTTCATCCCTAAGGGCTCGGCAGAGACACCCCCCCATCTAAGATTCTTTCTATGGTTCCCCAGTCTTGGCAAGTTCATTCTTTTTGGCTCCCACAGGAGTTTGCGTTCACATTTATTGAGACATTTAATGCTACATTATAGTCGTGGTGGTCTCCTTGCTACTGGAATATCTTCCCTACTAGATTTTAAGATTCGACAAGTAAATGAACGATTCGCTCAGCACCCCATGTCACTGGTAAGCACTTGCGCTCTTACTGAGCAAATAAATGCCGTGATGATGCTAGGAGGAGGGTATGATCGGTAGCCAGAGGAGAGAATGGCTTGCGGTGATTAGAAGAGAGACCTGCTGGTGGTAGCGTGTGCATCTCAGAGAAGGATTTGGATTTTGCCAGACTGAAAAGAAGCGCAGGAGGAATTTGAGACGAGGGGTCAGTGACATGGAAATAAACAAGCAGTCCATTCCGGGAATAGTGACGTCCTGGGGTGGCCAAATATGGTGGGTATGAGAGAAAGAGCAAGAGGTGGGCCTGCGTGGTGGTTTGGGTTTAGAATGAAAACTTAGGACTGTGGCACCAACATCATTTCTTAGATGTATCTGGGACCTGCCTGCCCCACGGTGTCTGTCTTGGCTGAGCGTAGGTCTAAAAGAAGACACCTTGAATCCTACCTCCCCTTGAATAAATGATGCGAGGTCAGAGGAGCCTGGATGTCAGAGCCTTCCATAACCAGCCGCTTCTCATGTCATTTCCACTGACCTTCCATTCCTGGGCACTAAAGAATGAACACTCCAGAGCTGGGAACCCCGAAGATCAGAGGTCGCACTGAATGACGGGGACTTGCAGCCGCTCACAGTTGCAGACATTTGCTGTAATTTACACTAAGATGTGGCTGTCATTATCCTTATCAGCGCCACTTCCCTGGCAAATGTGTACATTAAGTCAAGTAAATTTCCTCTCATGAAATCTTCGCATTTGGGGACTACAGTGGTCTCAGCCAAGAATTAGAGTTTAGAATAAGAAAGTGAAGGGAAAACGGAGCTCGGGTCCTCGGGAGGAAGTGCGGGTGTGAGGGTTCCAGAGGGCCACACGCGCCCAGACCACCGCAGTTCCACGGCCAGGCCGAAAGCAGGCTCTTCTCAGCTCCTCACCACCCACTTTGGCAAATTGAGAATATTCCACCCGCAGGAAGATTTCAAAGCAGAACAGAACATCTAAAGGAAGGTATTTCAGTGGTGGAGACAGGTACTTCAGA